CTTCATAAACAAAATCTTGAAAACTGGTATCAAGTACGTGGTCTGGATCCCAACGATCCACAGCAGAGAAATAATAAATACAGAGACCGTGCCAAGGAAAGAAGGGCCAAATATGGTGAACCCGAACCACCGCAGCCCAACAAATTGAAGGAAAAATATTTAAAGACTAAGGTGGAGGAGATGTCGGTATCTTATGAGGAGCCTACACGAGCCGGTATCGGGTCCGATAACGTTGGCAATAAATTACTGCAAAAGATGGGCTGGAGCGAAGGAATGGGTTTAGGAAAATCTAATCAAGGTCGAACGAGTATTATTGAAGCAGAGAGGCGCGTCCCTACGGCCGGCTTAGGAGCAAAAACTTCGTCGTATAGTGCACTACCGGGCGATACCTACAAGGATTGCGTAAAAAAGATGATGTACGCACGATATCAAGAACTATCTGACACGTAATACGTAGGATATGATTAAGATAGGTTTTATATATACACATACACAACACACAAGTTCTTGGTACTCCATTTTCCATAGACACATAATTACACATTCGTATTGTTATCATTCGAATAATGTAATAGCAATTTACTGTAACTGCACAGTGATAGCCAATTCTTTGGGACTGTTGCGTGCGCCATGCAATACGCATTTTATATATCCTCGTGTAAAGTCCCGTTTTCGTGATGATTTAACGAGTATTTTCTCTTTATAGATAATAAATTTTTTTCTTATAATATATACGGTAAACGAAAAAATAGTATGTTGTCAAAATACATAATATACATACTTTATTTATGTAACAGCCGTGTTACTCGTAAACTAAAAAAATATTCTTTCAAGGATGCATTCTCTGCACGAGATCACTATCGAGATAAATATAATTACCTTATCATTGTGCAATGCAATAATTGTGTCCACAAATAAATTATGTAATTAAATAGTAGTAAAAAAGTTCGCGACAAACGAATACGATCTTGTTAAAAGTTTTTTTTTTTTTTTTTCAAATTGTATGCATTTAGCAAAATTAATTATTTATAACATAAAAAAATTTAATGATTTAACAAGTTATATAAAGTTGTATTAAAAATAAATATCACTACGAATATTACATTATGCATTATGCAGAAATATATAAACTATATTATGTCTTGCTTCAATTTCATGTTTCTGTTTAAAAAAAATACGTGATCATTACGTACGATTCGATATATTTGAATTTATATATATATATATATTTTGGCGCATATTTTATATTTATTGTATTACAACGAAGTCTGAAGAGTTCTGACCCAATCAAATTGGATATGAAGATACTGCAGTTTTTGCTTATTCTCATACACGTATATACATTTATTTTTTCTTATTACAATTTTTGTCATATTTTGAAGGTAATGCATTATAATCACTGTATACATTTCTAATAGCATTGTTATAATTTACTGTTATTTTTCTAAAATTATTGTGCTATATATTCATATATTAAATAAATTAGAAAAAATTAATAACTACTCGCAGCGCTATTTTATTTGCATATTGAGAACGTGTGAACTTTTTTGTAACAGATTAAACTTTATAAACTTACCTGTCTTATTTATCTTCTATAACATCCTAAAATTCTTATACTTGATCCAAAAATTATTTATATATCAAATATTGTATTAGTAATGAGAGAGAGAGACAGAGAATACATGATTATTAAATCTAATCAGAGATTTTACAAAAAAAAATAACTCGATTCAACGCTTAAAAAAACGATTATCTATAGTACATTGTGTAACGCGTGGGGGCTAGTGTTATGGCGCGAAAGCACGAGCGAAGCGAGTGCGTTATTCGCACCCGTCCCGCGCTATATACACTATACCCCCACTAGTTATTCATAATATTTTATATCACGCGGTTCGCGTGACATAAAAAATATAAATGTACATAATTAAGTATATTACAATATACTTAAATGTATGTATGTAATTGTTACATATATAATGATTTTTCTAAATCAGATCAATTTAAATTCTTATCGGATACTTTTAGGACTGTTAAAAATTTTGTATACGAGAATATATATTAGATATACATATATATTTATGATATATGAAAATTATATCTCCAAAAACATTTTAAAATTTGTTTCCTTTATATCTGAAATATAGTAAAAAATTAAAAATTTTGTATTACATTTTTAAATATATTTAAAAGTGTATTATTTTAAATATTCATACAGTAGGGTGTATGTATGTTTATATAATTTTACTTTATTTTTCTACAATCGAACATTTTCCATTGTCATGTCTTTCACTTAATTAATGTATTTACTATTTATATATTCATTTAATTAATTAAATTGTTTTAGATGATATTTTAGATGTATTATAACTTAATACAATTAGGAGTAGGGAAATGCTTTATTCGATCTGAGTTAAATCATGATATTTCAACGTGGACTTTCTAATATACACATCCAATTCTGCAAACTACGTACCAATTTAATTTTTAGTTTTGAAACGTAATTCTAAAGTATACTTAAATCACTAATATTGCTCTGTTATGATTTTTTTGTATATTCAGAGATACAAAATACTCAAAATATAAATTTCTATACTCTGTTTATGAATAATTTATAAACATTTAGATATATATAATAAGTTGGTATCAAGCATTAGAGACTGAATAATGTAGAAAGTTCTTCTAATTATTCATTCATATTTAACACTTTATGTCACGAATTTTTGTACAAGACCAATTTTTTGAAACTTAATGTATCCGGGAATTTTTTGGATTACTGATTATGAATCAAAAGTTAATTTTTTTAATTTAATTGCCGTTTCAATGACGGACCAATAATTCAAATAATTTTTAATAAAATATTTAGTATTTCATTATGTACAAAAATAAATTATTTAGTAAAAAAAGATTTTAATAATCTTCAGACTCTCAAATGCAGTGACAACATATATAGAAACTAAATTTTAAACAGTTTTAAAATAATAAAAACTATTTTTTTCGTTTTTGGTCCGTCATACGGTTTCACTATTTTTTATTTTGAAATAAAGTTTTGATCACAGATTAGGATTCAGTAAACCAAAAAACCCCTAAAACATTATAAAAAATATTTAAACTATCTATTTAGATTTACAGTAAATATCAATATTTCCATATTTCTCCAAAATTATCAATTATAATAATAAAAAACGTATGGAAAAAATTGATAAAATTCTGAAAAATAGTTTAAAATGTCTTAATTAAGTATCTAATTGCTATTTTGATATTGATAATAATTTCAAAATATATTTAAAAAATAATTTTAATAAAATAACATAAATTTTGACTATATATATACATATATATACTTATTTAGTTACAGCAATTAAGCAAATAAAAATTAATGGTTATATTTTTTTAACACTTATTCATGTTTTAGGGACTCTACAAAAATATAAAAACTGGGTACTTAATGTCAAGAAATTCATCAAAATAATTAAAAATTAAGTGGAAAAAGGTGGGATTCTGAGACTTCTGTGACGCAGAGTTAAATTATATACATAATAGTATATACATATATATGCATATATACATATATATTATATATTAAACACACACATACATATGCAAATCGCATCTTACATTAAAATTACACAAGAAAAAAATTTATATCTAAAGTAGAAGTAGGAACAATCTCAGTACGAAAAATACTGTGCACTCTATTATAAGTTACAACAAAAAGACCAGAATCTCTCTTTGGATCAGAGGTATTATTGATCAAAGATTACAATAACATACTTTCTATGTATGTGAAAATTTGTACCATTAAATAGCTGCAACTCTTTTACATAGTAAATATCACAAAAATATAAAATTAAGTGATGTAATGTATAGTGACAGTACATTTAAATATTATATGTTTAAATGGCATTGTTCTTTCTTATGAGCTTTTAATGAGCTAAAGAAATATATCTGATGATTACAGTCTTTAACTCTTATCAATAATATAATATGTTATTACATATTTCTTTTACATCTTTGTACAATCTGTTAATTAATTATTATTATTGTTGTCATCATTATGTGCTACCAATATTATTGAAAAAACATTAATCTCATATACAAGGGAATATTTGTTGCAAGTTCAATTGTTCAAACTCTTAACACACAAAAATGGAATATTATTTCAATCATTAAAAAATATTCTAGTAAGTAATCATAATGCTCTATCACATGTTAAAACAATTATATACATTTTGTTGAATACTTTAAAGGGGATCGGCAAAATATTTTTTAGGAAATTGGGCGCTCGCGGATGCTAAACTGTTGTGCATGCCTACAATCAACTTCGGGTAAGTTTTTTTAATTTATCGATTGATTATAATTACGCATTATATGCGCAAATGTAATTTTATTCCGTAAATGTTGCGTTTATGAATTGATCAAATGCGATTGATCAATCAATAAATTAATTATTGATTGATCAATAATAAATTAAAAAACTCGCCCTTTATCTATAACTCAGGAGCGTATTCTATTTTTCTTTATTTTGTACTTTAGAATGAAATTTTATATTTCATACTTTTTTACTACAAAAATAGCATCGCGCATACATATGAACGTTATAGTTTTGAGTCTTGAATACTAAATTCTTTAGAAGTTTAGTTAAACTGTTATTGATATATATATATAATCAATCTCGGCAGTGCCAATATTACTTTTCAATTTAGAAGAATAGTCTTATCTCAGCAAAAAAGATTTTTAAATATCGCAAATAAATATTCTGCTGAAAGCGTAAATTTTTCTAATTATTTTTTAATTATCATATTGTTTTCTATATATATATATATATAATAAACAGAAATTATACAAGAAAAAGACAATGTATATATCTATAAATATATTTAATATAATTATATTTTTGTATACTTCATTATATAATTTTTTTTACTGAGATACCAGATAAAAGATACGGGTTCTTTGAAAGGTAGATGAAAATAGCAACTAAATATATAAGTACGTGTCCTTTCTTTGTGTACATATCTCGTCCACCTATGTTTTAGAGACCTGTATCTTTCACGTGTGACACTCATTATTTCTCCCTATATCACTTATTGCCCAAGACGTTCAATTTATTGCCCGCGAGCAGTGCCCACCTGCCAATCCCTATCTCTAATTTACTTTGTATAAGATAAAACTTTTTAATATTAAAAAATATGTAATGCGCTATAATAACTTATATGATTAGCAGTAATATCTTTAAAAAAGATATATATATATATATATCGTAATATTAAATAATATCTTGTGAATTACACATCAGCTAAAATCCAAGAATATAATGGTCGCAATTGATGATTTAATACTCTGTATTCCAGGTTGCTCAATCCATCAGTGTCGTATCTTCGAGCACCATTTTCCAAATTTTCAAATCTCGTAGTACTGGGAGATTCCTTCTTATGCGTCAGCATATAATACTGTGCTACATTAGGTCCGAAGCGTGTAATCTGTAAAACAAAGCCAATTATATTACTTGAATTACTTGAAAAAATAAGCACATTGACACTGATTTAAGTTAACCAAACCTGGAAACCCCTGGATTGTAAACGACTGTAGAAATCATCATCTTCTCCACCCCAACCGTAGAACACATTGGAAAATCCATTTACTCTTTCAAATTGCTTCCTCGTCAACGCTATCGCACCTCCAAACAGGCCAGTATAAGGTAGGTTGTATCGAAAAGTATTTACACTGGAGCTCATATGCCTGGGCATTTTGGTGCATGCGTAGATATTGTTCGGATTCTGCGGTATCAAGTCTATATCTTGGAAAATAAAACAATGGAAATCGTTGATCTTGGTAGCCTCGGCGTATCCAACGTTGAAGAGCTTAGCGCGATTGAACTCGCGCATCGGACTCTGCTCGATTACGAATATCCGATAGTCCAGATTCTGCGACTGCAAGAAGGGATGTATGTAATTCATAAAAATGGCAAGCTGACTCTGCCGATTGCGATAAGGTAGTATAATAGCCACGTTGAAGAGGGGATGGCAATTAAGTGGCTTCCACTGGCCGCCCGGTAAAATACCGAGCCGCCGGGCCATTACCACTGGATCCTCCCTGGGATGTTCCTCTGGATAAAACAGTTGGGAGGATCGTCCATCGCTGACGGAGATTACGCAGGAGTTGTCTCTCGGTGGATACGATCTCTCCATCTCGTCATAGATGTTTTCCGTCTTGATAAAGGTGTAGTGAGAAGCGAATCGCGCCGGATGAAGACAATAGCACAGGAGCGTGAATGTCACGGTGTAGCATAGCGCGCGCAAGTAATTCAGGAAAACTATCTTCAAAGTACTGATAAAGTTCTTCATACTGAAAAACTTCATACTAACCTATATACGCGGTATACCGCCGATAAACATACCAATCGAAGGAAGTGAGTCTCGGACAAGTTGCGATATTTGCGCCGTAATCTTTGACTGATTTATCGAACGGGCATTTTCGCGCGCGTGCCCGCCGACGACGCTGTCAGAAGTGCAAAATTTACATCTTTTTCGCAGAATCACCTGCAGCAGAGCAGAGCAAAGGTGACAATTGCAGACGACATTCTTCCTTTGTTCCTTTATATGGCCGACGTTTCCGACTTGATACGGAGTCAGAAATGTCCAGTAACATATATAAGACACCTCCAATCCTTCAACTTTCGACAGATTTGTATAAAATTAGATAAAATTAAATGCATAAGTTAAACCCAGCGGACACTTCCAAAAATTAAAGATAATGCAATACTTGACCGAAGCAAGAACACACCCCGGCTGAGCCGTCAAATGAGATTCTGTTGCAGACGACAGAGACGAGAGACGAGCTGGAGAACGATGAGATGCGCAGTCGCAAATATTAGTTTAAATTTAAAGATTTTAAGTCCTCTTTTCGATAATACTTAATAATATCTGTTCAATAACAAAAAAATTACTTTTTTTTTTTTCAAAAAATTGTACTTGTAGATATCGTAGATTTACTTAGAACAAGTTTTTGTTTTATTATTTAAAAAATGTTGAATATGATAAAAAACATTTTTTGCCCGTTTTACTCCAATTTACTTAAAATTCTGACGAGCTACGCAATTCTGCCGATGACATTATGTTTAAAGTAAAAAAATCTTTGGAATATGTATTATTATGGCATTTTAGAGAGAATTTTGATGTTGAACGTTGATATACGTGTAATAATGAATGCAGGATGCTGAAGCGAGAGAATTGCAATTGAATATATATATATTACAAATTAATTGGAATACTTATATTGCAAGTTACTTCTATAAAAGTTAGATATAAAACAATTAATACCTTTCATTTCAAAAGTTTTTCATGCATGAATATATATAAATAAACATACATATAACATACAGTAAATATACATAAATATAAAACATTTTATATTTATGTACTTATATATATAATATATAAAACATATGTACTTATATTCTATATGAAATATCTGTACACATTCATATACTTCCTTTTTTCTTTTGTAAAATTTATAGTTTAATATATTTTAAAAATAATAATAATGTGAAAAAACGCAAAAAATATTTAAAAGGACAATTTTTGTGTATTTTTGTTTTAGAAAAAGTTTGGAGAAATGTAAAAAAATTGCTCATATCAACTAATTATATAGCAGAAGACACGCGGTAGTATTCCGGCATTAAGCAAGCGCAGCGACATAAAAGTATGCACAATTATATACATGAGCATTTTTTTTTATTTCTCTAAACTTGATTTTTTGTATAAGAAACAATGTAAAAATGATCCTTTTAATAATTTTTGACATTTTGTCATTATTGCTATTGTTTTTACTATACTAAACAGTAATTTTACCAAAGAAGGATATATGGACACGTATCGACATATTTCATATCTTTCATATATATAATTATATCATATATATATTATATACATGTTTATTTATTTACATTCGTATATAAAAAACAGGGTAAATATAGACGTAGTTAAAAAAATACTAATAAGATGTAAAGATAAATAGAATTCATTAGTTAACACTTTATTTAAACCTCTGTTAATTATTAACGTTGTGATAAAATAACAAGATTTAATTTTAAATGTAGTTAGAACACAACGGATAAACAGGATAAATAAATATATATTTAGACATCCTTAAACGAGATGTATGTAAGATATCTGCGTGAATAGGTTTTGTATACGATAGATTATGTATACAATCATATATTATATACATTCGTCAATGAACCAGAATAGCACGCGGCACATCGTTCGATTTAGCGGCTATCTTGAATATATTTAATTGACGAAAAACATCCAACGTGTCGCACATGAATTTATCCATCATGGCTTGAGTATGTTTCGGAGTTGGGGCTAATCTCAATTTCTCTTCGCCCTTTGGAACTGTGGGATAATTTATAGCTTGCACATAATGTCCTTTATCTCTTAATAAATGGTCTGCTATCTGACTACACACCAATGGATCTCCTATCTAAAAAAAAGAATATAATTTTAGCAATTATTATTTAATTATATAAAGATAAATTAATTAAACCATTTAATCGCAGCTTACTTTTATCGGAATAATGTGAGAGGGCGATGTTTCTAACGGAAGACCGGCGGCAGTAAGAATAGATTTCATATAGGCCACATTTTTTTGGTGATTCGTCCTCAATGATCTGCCCTCGTCCGATGCCAAAATTTCGATGGATGTCAAGGTTCCGTACAGGACAGTAGGCGGTAGCGAAGTAGTAAAAATAAAACCGGCTGCATAACTTCTTATCATATCTATTAGCTTCGCAGAACCAACAATGTAGCCACCTACATTGCCAAAAGCCTTTCCCAAGGTGCCAGATATAATATCCATTTTATGAAGTACCCAATCCCTTTCACCGATTCCAGCACCAGAAAAGCCATACAAGCCAACGGCATGGACTTCATCAACGAACGTTATTGCACCATACTTATGTGCGACGTCGCACAACTCTTCTAACGGACAGATGTCGCCGGTCATGGAATGCACCGTCTCAAACGCCACAATCTTTGGTACACTTTTGTCCACCTTCGACAGGAGCTCCTCCAGATGTTGCACGTCGTTGTGCCGGAATATATGTTTCGGCACGCCACTGTTCCTTATGCCCTGTATCATAGAGGCATGGTTCCCGGCGTCAGAGAAAATGTGACAACCTGGTAGAATTCTCGCTAACGTGAATAAAGTAGAGTCATTGGCAACAAAGCAGGAAGTAAAAAGCAAACCGGCTTCCTTCTGATGCAGCAGTGCCAGTCGTTTCTCCAATATCTCATGACCCATAGAGTTGCCCGAGATGTTTCTTGTGCCTCCGGCACCAGCACCAAACTTATCCAACGCTTCTCGAACTGCGCTAATCACCGCGGGATGACGCGACATTCCTAGGTAATCGTTGGAGCACCATACCGTTATAGGTTTCTCGCCCCACGAATGTTCCATAGCTACTGGACAGTTTTCAGCCAGACGATTAACTTTCTTGAATACTCGGTACGAATGATCCTTCTTCTTTCGCATAAGTTGCTCATGAAAAAATTCCTCATAAGGGAATTGCGCCTCCTCTTTTTGCTTCGCAGCATCTAGATTAATAACATCTTCCTCCATTGCTGGATTGGCTTTTTTAATGGCATCCCGTTCTCTGGATAAGAAAGGACACTGATTTTGTATAGGCTCTGGAATTGGCTGAGACTCCTCTGATTCTGCCACTGTACTTGACAATCTTGACATTACTGGGCAATGTTGTCGGTAATTCATTATCAGGGATGATCCATAATTGCGAACATAGTTTGCAGACAAACGGGTCAAAAATGGACACGGCATTGTTGTCAGAAGATCTGAAAGTATATATTGATTTGCATATAGAGTAATTGAAAAAGGTAAGTAGTGTAACAAATTTTGATATATTTAAGAGATCATTCTGAATAAAAAATGTTATATAAACACAGATCATGTTCTACTATATTTACAGTAATTATAGAATTAAAAAAATGTTGCTTCTATCATATGATTTTTTGTTTAACAATGGCAAATGACAACGATAATGGTTTATGTTTGTGTCATCTGTGTCTCTTGCTGAAAAACACTCATAAAATCACATATATGATAGACATCAAAATAAAAAATAATATGAATGAATTACTGATGCAGCAAATAAAATAGGAATGTACTGAATTGTAAAATTACCGGATATCGAATATCCAACGTCACATCTTTCGGATATTCAATATTCGGTCGGATATCTGGAACGGAACCGTGAGCGCTTGCTGTTATTGGACGATGTAAAAGAATACACCAATAACAGTGAGCGCTCACGAATCTGCTCCGCAACAGTTGCGTCTGCTGAAAGCAACTATTGGAAAGCATTCAGTGGACTCGACGAGTGAGTGCTCGCTGTTATTGGTGTATTCTTATAAATCTAAAATTCTGATTTGATATTGGTGTATTCTTATAGATCTAAAATTCTGATTTGATGATCTAAAAGAATACACCAATAACAGCGAGCGCTCATGTTATGTTACTATTAATTAGCGTTTACTAAGCAGCGGCAAAATTAAAAAATTTTTGTAATTACGTGTTGAGAATAAAACTTACACTCATGATATTTTTCACTCAAAATGATCTCCCAAACGTTCTGACAAAGTTTGTTACACTCTACTTACTATTGAATTATCCTATGTATATAAATAATATTGGCCATATTTGTACATTTATACTGCCAGTTGACTGTTAGTACTAAAAATCTATAGTTCTTGTTACTGTATATTGATGATTGACAATAATATACGAACACGGCCTAAGTTAATGAAAATCAACAAATATTAACATCATGCAAATATTTCAACAATAATCTATAATTAATTAAGTAAAAGGGATCGAAGCGTATATATATATGTATGTATACATATACATTATACATATATATGTATGTATACACAAATTAAATAAATCTACAGATATGATATCAAGAATATAAAATAATATTAAAAAAGAAATCCGATACATGGTAGCATGATAGTGTACAATCTGAAGATTATATCTTAATCCAATAATTACAAATGTTCAATATCTTGAGAATTGCATAATTCGCGTGCGGGAAAACGAGCAGAGAGAGAGAGAGAGAGGAGAGAGGCGTTGACGTTAGATAACAACCTGTCATTTTAGACTCCAAACCGAAGCTTATAAAAAAAGTAAGTGAAAAAAACTGAATTATAATCATCAATGGCTACCTGTAAGAATGCATGACGGAACGAAGGAAAAAGAGAAAGTGACAGGATGACGCAGCATCTATGTCTCCAGGGGTGCGTTCAGAATCGTCGTCCTGATGCACCCAGATGTTGTTTTATCCTTGTTGTTCACGAATGAAACAAGAATAACACGACACCTGGATGCACTCGGATGATGATTCTGAACGTAACCCAGCTGGTGAATACGTTACCTTTTCCAATGATACGACGAGTAGTTGCTCCGCGTTGGGCGTATTGT